TTTCTGAATAACAAGATTTTAGCCTTGTACGTAAGCTTATATTTATCCCTAGGTCACAGGGCTGTTTTCTCATGGCCTCTTATCAATTTTCGTTTGCCATTAGCCTTCCAGACGATCAAAGGTAAAAACTATAGAATGGAAACTAGGCTTTAGATTTAGGTTACTGAAAATGGAAAAAGGAATTACCTGAGATTTCCCAATATTCATATTATGATTTGTCGGCTTGCGCGACAGGGACAGGCATCAGAGTAACAGCTGCTTGCGTACGCATTTTACTCCGTGTCTTTAGGGGGAGTTAATTGGGAAAGCACAACTACTTTGGCCGGATGCGAACATTTGCGCGCCGCGCTTTTTTGCAGGAAATTCTAAGGGACAATACCACTGAGAGCAAACGCTTGACATTTGAAACTGCTTTCAAATCCTGAATGCTTTCAAACACAATTGAATAATTTCCGTCCACGCACGTCTAATTTTTTTCTCTCAGTCCTGTGCTGCTCTAGTTTGACGATCGTGCTGCTTTCTTTACAAGTATTCATCGTAAAAATTCTAGATACCATGCCATAACCACGTGATATAACAAATGTTGTCTCTGACTTTTCAATATAATTTCTGGACGTTGCATTCAACAGCCTTCAGAAAGTAAAGAGAAAAACAGTTGGCTTCTCACTATGAGACATTCCATTACAGATATTTCTCAAGATAAGACAATAATGCTCGTACTACTAAAGCTTTTATTTTTTTTTACTTTAACGTCTCCTCTAGTGATTTTACATTAAGCAGTTCTTAGAGTGGGCGTTAACAATTATCTCTCTCTCTTTTTCTCCCTTTCTGTCTTCCCCTGTTTGTCTGTCTGTCACCTAGTCACCACCTAATCTCATGTCTGTCTGTCTGTCTGTCTGTCTGTCTGTCACCTAGTCACCAACCTAATCTCATGTCTCTTAGTCACGACTTCCTTCAAGCTTCGCCCTTGATGAAGTTGATCAGACCATTGGTGGAGCAGTCATGTGACGTCACAGGTCCCGGAGCCTCTAGTTCTGGTTGTATTGCTTTAGCGAGTTGCTTTCCAAGCTCAACCCTGTGGTAAAAAAATGCAAGGATGGAAAATTAGTAAGTAGTGGTGGCATGATGATAATGTTGATGTTGCTACTGATGTAAGATTGATTAATCAAGATGAACATGGTGATGATGATGATGATGGTGGTGGTGATGATGATGATGGTGGTGACGGTGATGATGATGGTGGTGATGATGATGATGATGATGATGATAATGGCGATGATGATGGTGGTGACGGTGATGATGATGGTGGTGATGATGATGATAGTGGTGGTGGTGGTGGTGTTGGTTATGGTGATGATGATGGTGGTGGTGGTGACGGTGATGATGATGGTGGTGATGATGATGATGATGGTGGTGGTGGTGGTAGTAGAAGGTATAAAATTAGCTGTATCATAAGTTGATACTCATCATGCTGTTACGAAGTTGTTGATGGTGGTGGTGATAGTGATGATGATGGCGATGGTGATGATGATGACGATGGTGATGATGATAATAACGGCGATAATGATTTTGAAATTAATGTAAATTTTTGTTTTTGATGATGCTGCTGAGTGTTGCTGATGGTGCTGGCAATGGTGATTCTGTTCATTGATATATACTTTTGATTGTAGATACTCACCCCCACTGGTCAAATGAGTTAATACCCCAGATGACACCCTGGGTGAAGATCTTGTGCTCGTACATAGCTGAGAAAAAGCATGGACTTCAATTTACTTTCTCTACGAGGTACCTCAACAACTATATTGCCTATAACACTCTTTATTTTCCCTACAGACTCAGCCAAGTCGTGCCCTTTCTGGGACAGTGGGGTGGAGATAAATGGTTCTCGATGGGAAAAATAGATTCTAAACAGTCTACATAGACCTTTTAGGCTTGACGTAATATTTTCCCATTTCACCTACCAATGAGCAGCCCGAGAGTAAAGGGAGATAGCTTCTTAAACACGATAGAATTGGTAGGCCTGTTACCCTTGAAGACCTTAAAACGAAAGTATAATATAATTAAATTATAAAACCAGGTTAACACAGGACTAGATTTGGCGGGAACGTTGGCGCAACTTCAAAGTAAAACTACTCAAAAGTGGCGTCCAAGTGGATAATTAAATCCAAGTCCCCTTGGGACCACAGCGATGATAGCCACATCCCTGCATTGCCCATATAATCTTTTCCAGACCCCTTCAGACCTCTTCCCCTATCGTTCTCTAATCTAAATCGTAGTTTGGCTTCCTGTTTACTAACCTTATGTGGTGCAATTTTGTCCAGTTTCTCCCCAGTGACTCCAGCCTTCTCCAATTCAGCCTTTGCCTCTTCTAAAGTTTTTCCTTTCATTAGGGCTTCGGTTTGAGCTAAGAAATTAGCCAACAGGATCTACAAAACCCGAGGATCATTAGCGTTATACATACATACAGGTGATACCAAAAGCTACCTTAAACTAGCTTTAGTTAGTAATATTGTCAGGCTCGAAGTAGCGGTCTTTCATGTTTTCGATAAGACGACTGCTGTTAATGGGCAATGTACAACTGAGTCTGCAACACAAGCATCGAATAGCAATATACACAGACTCAATGCAGCTCTTCTCTAACAGGTGTGAGGAAAGACAACTGCTGTTAATGAGCAATATAAGCATCAGCAACATACACAGACTCAGTGCAGCTCTTCTCTAACAGGTGTGAAGAAAAACAACTGCTGTCATGAGCAATGCAGGACTGAGTCTGTAACACAAATATAAGCATCAGTAACACACACAGACTCAGTGCAGCTCTTCTCTAACAGGTGTGACGAAAGACAGCTACTGTTAATGAGCAATGCACGACTGAGTCTATAACACAAGTATAAGCATCAGTAACATACACAGACTCAGTGCAGAACTTCTGTAACGGGTGCGAGGAGAGACAACTGCTGTTAATGAGTAATGCAGGACTGAGTGTACAACACAAGTAAAAGCATTGAATAGCAACATACAGAGATTCAGTGCAGCCTCTTCTCTAACAGGTGTGAGGAAAGACAACTGTGGCGATCAACTGAACCAGACCGTAGTGACAGCTACCGTGAGAACTATAACAGACTTCAAATGAACCGTGCATCAAAACCTGTAAAGGTGATTTCCATATTAACTAAGAAATCCACCCCAGACTACACACTATTAGTCTGTAGCGTATATATTTGTTTTTACTGACCTTATGGTGAACACCTTCTCCCACTGGGTTGTGGGTCTCGACAGGAGCAAGAAAATCAGCAGGGATTAGTTTCGTACCTATACGAAAAGAAGGAAAGCCATAGACATGAAATTCATTGTTTTATTCTCCAAGCTCGTCTGGGGTAGGTATCCATGTAAAGGGTTTGATGACGGTACTGGTAGCCACGCTAGACAAAAAAATACCTAACACACTTTGCCACAACAAGCCCTCCAACCTTTTTCATACGTTGTCACATAAAGCATAACTGGTTTTGGGCGTCTCCCTTGGTTTGCGTTTTTTTTACCAAGCAAAGTTTTTTCAGGGATCGACGGTCTTTTTTTTGGGTAGTTTTAGCTTTTCATCCTTGGGTGGACCCATTTTGAAGCACTTGAAAACCAGGCTACGTAGCTAGACAAAATCCCATTATTCCAGCCGACATGGCTGCCGATAAATGCCCACGACATCCTCAAACCAACATCAAAATCCATTACTGCAACAAACCTTGATGAATGAGCTGATAAAAAGCATGCTGTCCATTTGTACCAGGTTCTCCCCAGACTATCGGTCCAGTAGAATAGTCTACCTCTTCGCCAAACCGAGTGACGTATTTACCATTAGACTCCATGTCACCCTGGGCAGCATCAACAAAGGGTCAATAAGAAAGAGATTGTTATTGAGCAGCTTTACTATTAGAACAAGAAACTCCTTTGCCATAATGTTGGTTGAGGAATAAGGGTTGGCACAGCAGTTGTGCATTCACCTCTCACCTCTTGCATAGGTATCGGGTTTATTTTATTTTTTTATTTGTTAAAGTCAATGTTTATACAGGCACGTCTAGTTTATCAAAGCTAGTTTAAATAGAGTCCTGGTGTAACATAACAGTAAATTCACGCAAGCAGAGGTTTTTAAGTCTCTCCCTTTATTCAAGGGTTCTCCTGTTTTTCTGCACTTCGCATAGCCATCAGACCAGAGTTTGTACCGCGCACACTAGCTGTGATTGGTTGGTTCAAAGGGCTACCATCGTTCTCCTCCCTAACATGACCGTGGTGTGTGACGTGCTCGTTACAATACCGCGTCTGCGCAATTTCATTCGTCAAGAAGTAACCTTGCGCGCTGCCATTGGTTCAAAGGATATCGACAATCCAGTGCTTTTTTAGCGCATGTGACGTGCCATCCAGTTAGAGTTATTCGAAATGTGTAACCCTAAATTTATAGTCTGTCTAACCTTTCATCACATTCTCATAGCCTATTCTCTTACCTGTTGAAAGTAGGCAGCAAAACGATGCATATACTGAAATACAAAAAAAAGTCGTAAACGACTCGAAAAAAAAAAACGTATTTATTTTTACTGGTAAGTAATAATAAAAAAGCTTGGACACACAATGCGACGGTGCTTGCAAAGGGGAAGTAGCACGTGTGTCCAGCCGGTGCAGACACGCAATGCGACATCTCCTACAACGTTGGATAAAAATGGCTGTTTTGGGGTTTCAAACGGCGCGATGTTGCATGCGACGTCGCAAAAATAGAAATTAATTCTCCCCGTGCTCCGACACCCAAGGGTTTAGATTATGTATAAATACGAATCAATTCCAAGATTGAGGTTGTTATTCCCAAGCATATAGCAGAAAATGTGTGACAGCGCACTGTATATATCACTGGATTTTTTCACAGACTAAAAGAAGAAAGACCTTCAGAACTCACCTGGTCATAAGGAAACAGGCCATGACTTTGGGTACCAAAGAAGTTGTTGTACCAGATGCCAAGCACAGCCAGGATAACTGGTAACTAGGAGGCAATGACACATGTATGCTGTCACTTTGGAGTGCAATATTGATCTTTTTCTCAACACCCAAAGGTGTAAGAGTAAATTAACTGTAAAGTTCAGACACAATGCGATTTGTTATGCAACGTCGCAAAAACTAGATTGTGCAGTGTGACCACCTATGCAACACTGCTTGCGCATGGGTGCTCACACGTCGAGATTCGTCGCACGCGACGTTGCTGGCAACGCTGCACAAGTTTGGGATCTCTAATTTTTGCGGTGTCACACGCAACATCGAATAAAACATTGCATCGAACTTGTTATCAGCCTTTATGCACTTACACTATCATCTTTATTATATCATCAACGTTGTGACTTTCACCATTGACATGACTTTCACCATTGTTACCATAATCATCATTTTGACCAATCATATTTATCAACGTTATATTTATCAACATTAACTGTCCTTATCTACACCCACATTACCATTACCATTACCATTGCCAACCATTACCATTGCCAACCATTACCATTGCCAACCATTACCATTGCTATGCCATTGCCATTGCCATTGCCATTGCCATTGCCATTGCCATTACCATTACCAAGCATTACCATTACCATATCCAAGCATTACCATTACCATAACCATTACGATTACCATTACCATTACTTTTGCCATTACCATTACCAACCATTACCATTACCATTACCATTACCATTACCATTGCCATTACCATTACCAACCATTACCATTACCATTACCCTTACCCTTACCCTTACCCTTACCATTACCATTACCATTACCATTGCCATTGCCATTGCCATTACCATTACCATTACCAACCATTACCATTGCCATTACCATTGCCATTGCCATTGCCATTGCCATTACCATTACCAAGCATTACCATTACCATTACCATTACCATTACCATTACCATTACCATTACAATTACCATTACCATTTACCGCTACCATTACCATTACTATTAGCAACCATTGCCATTG